ATAAGTGTAAGCCCTTGCATTTTTGCGGCAATTTAGGATGTTACTGCGGAATGCGGTTGGATTGCACGAGACGATCGTCCTTCTTATTTCCGAACTAACGGTAATTCCTATTCTTGTCCCTTGCTTTCATTTATTTACCCGTTGATTTTTGGAGAGGTTATATTTGAATCATCTGTCAACGCGAATGCACCCGGCCATTAGTACAGTTAAGCACTCGACCTTTGGCCCACGTTCGTCTTCGATTTCCTAAGACGTTACTGTGTAATCTCATCCATGTGTGTAATAATTACTTATTATTGATAATAGCGGGTAGTAGTTAGGTAATATTTGGTCTCCTTGCGTTGATTAACTCCTGTCATTATTGGCCCGTTGACCCTAGTGATGTCGGAACCGAACATCGTATTGCCAGCACTATCGGTCTTTTTTGGAACTTTGTGAAACTTCATCGGTTTTTCTTTCTTTGGATTTCAATCCGAATAAGTTTGTGGCATCTCGTAGTTTTCGAGGATTAAACCGGATTGAAATCGTATAGAAGTTGCGGATCGTCGTTTTGTTGGTAGTATTTTGCTTGAACGTCCCCAACATTACAGCTTAGGCTGGACTAAAGCTAACCAACCTAGCACCTAGCACTCTTCACCGCCACCACCGCAACTCATTATTTTGTTTTGTAGGGTTTTAGTTTTGGTATTGGTTTTGGTTTTTCTTTTGGAACCAGTTTTTGATTGTTGGTCTGGTTTTGGATTCCCATTTGGTACTGGGTTCCCTAGTTCCGGTTCATTTGGATTTGGTGCCTCTTTCCTTCGTGGACGGCACGTGTTTTGAATTCTGCAACCCAAGAAGCCATGTAAGCTCGGTTCCGGACGTTGCAGTGCATATCTCCTCGTCCAAGAGTGATAAGCATTCGTGTCTATCCCACTGACCGGTGAACCCGCAGGCAGTATACAGAACAGCTGTCCTAGAGCTTGCCGATTCGTTCGTTGCTGGTAACTGGAGGATCACAGATAAGCCATTTTATTTATGTTCCGATTAACTTTATCACTATTAAATATATATTTGAACTTTTTAAATGTCAATATAAATTAGAGAGCTCAGCTAGGGTAAAGGTAACGTACACAATTATAGAAACATTTTTATTGTGATAATTATTTGTAAACGATCGATCGTAACCAAGCTTCCTGTGTTTATTGTGTTCTTAAGTATTTGACGTATTCCCAGCTTGGAGCTCCTGGTCTAAGGTATTTTGCTTATATTCTGTGATTGAGAATCTGGTCCAATAGCCAATATATGGAGATTTAAACTGACGTGCCTGTCTTATTTATTTAATATTTATTTGCCTAGGACTTTGTTAACTTTGTGAGTTTGTTTGGTGGCTAGTGAGCAAGGACACTAGTCGCTATCACTAAATTTTAGTATAGGTTGGGGTATAGTCCTAGCTGGCGCCCCGGTTTCCAACCTTTTATTTATTTATTTATTTATTTTTCCATACCCCGCCCATATTTTGAGAAACTGAGCTGCTTGGGCCCTATACTTACTGCTTTCAATCGGTAGCAAAGATAGTAGGATTGCTTTGGTCTCCCCTCCACCTTCAGTGGAAAAGAGACGTGGCAGATTAGATTCTTGACCTACAAAAAAGTCGAACTCTCACCTTATTTAAGACTTATTTAAGATATTTGATTGGCCCTGGTTGTAAACTTTGTTTGGCCCAAGGTAAAATTTTCTCTGAAAAACTTTTCACTGATCACCTCGTATATATACACGGTGTCCCATTTTAATTTGCCGCTTCGCCTTCTACGCGGCACATTATGTTATTACAAGCGCGCGTAATTACGAAAAGACGTGGCATTTTAATTAGCCGAACCGATGAAACCAAAATGAACGTCTATAATTTTATATAACGCGCAAAGTTGATGGCTTAAATGCGAAACATGTGTTTTTCGAAAAGCTGTTAATGTGTGCTTCGAAAATGCACGGTGTTAAAATGGGCAAATTACCTTCATTCCGGGCTGACAGCCTGTAATTTCGGTTTCGTTCGCGACCGCCTCTTCCTCACCCGTTCGTTTTCGACATTTTTCCTCTCTCGGCCAGAAATATTTAATAAGGAATCTGGCCAGGCGGCCCGTAAAAACGGAGCCGCTGACTTTTGCCACCTTTCGAGCTTTTACCCGACAAGTAATTTGTCGATAACCCTGTACCTTTTCGTCGTTCGCCGAATGAATAAATAATAAAATTTGAAAGGTTATTTTGATTGATACTACATCGAAACGAGAGCCTAATAAACTCCTTCGATTTTATGAAAAACGATATTTGAATATTATTATACCGGATGTTCCAGTATGAGAAACCCAAAAGCCTAAGTTGGCCTATCTTAGCCTATTTTTACTTTAGTGAATAGTTTAATTCCATTATATATAATAAAACGTATATTACTTACTGCTTCCCTAATCATAATAATTATAAAATATCCTGTATAAAATATTTCAATTTTTTTTTAATAACAATGATTATAAAACATACCTTATTAAAAATATTTCCGTAGTCATAATAATTGTAAAATATACCCTACTTAAAATATTATAATTATAAAGTATACGTTACTTAGAATGTTTTTGTAATCATGATTATTATAAAACATATCCTACTTAGAATGCTTGCTGTATCATAATTACAATAAAATTTCCGTTTTCATAATAATTATAAAACATATCCTACCCCACTTAGAGTACTTCCTTAATCATAATTATTACAAAATATACCCAACTTAAAACATATCCGTAATCATAATTATCATAAAACATGTCCTACATGGAATGCTTAAATAATCATAATAATTATAAAACATATACTGCTGAAAATGCTTCCTTAATAATGAGAATTATAAAATATACCTTACTTAAAATATTTCCGTAATCATAATAATTCTAAAATATACCCTACATTTCTGTGATCATAATAATTATAAAGTATACGCTACTTAGAATGTTTCCGTAATCATGATTATTATAAAACATATTGTATTTAGAATGATTCCTTTACCATAATTATCATGAAATTAAAATATTTCCGTTTTTATAATAATTATAACACATATCCTACCCTACTTAAAATATTTCCCTAACCAATCATGCTTATTGTAAAACATTTAGAATGCTTCCTTAATCGTAATTATTATAAAATATACCCCACTTGAAATATTTCCGTAATAATAATTATTATAAAATATACCTCACTTAAAATATTTCCGTAATCATAATAATTATAAAGTATAAGCTACCTAGAATGTTTTCATAATTATAATTGTTAATTGTTGTGTGTAGAATGATTCCTTTATCATAATTATTATAAAATTGAAATATTTCCTCTTTCATAATAATTATAAAACATGTCCTTAATCATAAAGTATACCCTACTTAGAATATTTCCGTAATCATGATTACTATAAAGAATATCCCACTTGGAATAGTTGATTAATCATAAGAATTATAAAACATATCCTTCTGAGAATGCTTTCCTCATCATAATAATTATAAAACGCACCCTACTCAGAATCCGTCTTTAATCATAATAGTTATAAAATCATGTTACTTGTGCACTTAAATAGTATGTAAATAAAATTATGCTAAGCCAACCGACGCTCGTTGAAACGTAAATAAGCGGAGACCAATTCAAATCTTATTTGCTTAATGCTCCATCTCTACAAATCTCAGAATTAATGTTGCTAGCTTTTAGTAAGGCATTTGACTTGCTCAATCTTGAGCTTATGATTGTTATTTTAAAATTCATTGGTTTAATTTATAATGCACAAAACCTCTTGAATTCTTCAACTTCACTAGGGGTTGCCTTTTCGTCAGGAGTGCCGCGGGGCGCGTTTTGGGTCCTCTTTTGTTTACTATTTCTACTTCTAAGTTCCACATGTCTCTAAATCACCCTTATTATTATCATCTTTCTGTTGACGACACCTAACTATACACAGTTTTCAATGTCAGTGATAATCGCGTAATATTGCTACGGATCATCTACTCAAAATTGAAAAAGTCGGCTCTTGTTAACCATTCATGATTTTTCCATGCAATTTTACGATTCATGAGTTTATTCTTGAATTCTAAGCTTCGTGCCTTAAAACTAATTTATTGTTATAGATATACTTACCACATGAGGCTGCTTTGCGGCTCCATGGTGTTATCTCAGCTGAACCATGGTTCAAAAAAAAAAAAAAACTTCAAAACTCATACTTGCTTGATAGGTTAATTTATGGAATTCAAAGACGCTAAAGAATTTCTTTCCAATTTTCTCCCAGCTGCTCTCCAAACGTCAACTGTGGTGTCTTGCAATGGTTCTTTATTTTTGTTCAACTCTTCATTTTCTTCGCCTTTTCCCTTTGCCTTCCCTCTTGGAGATTTATTGTTTATTTAACCAGTATATATTTGTAAATGAGCCTTTGACAGTGTTTATTTCAAGCCTTTTGCGGCATGTTTTCCTAATTTACTGAAAATTTATTTATGTTGTTAGCAATAAACTTTATTATTATTATTATTATTATTATTATAACAATGCCTAGAAGTTCAATTCACAGAACTTTGAAAACTTCCTCGTTCGTATCGGAATTATAAGCGATGTTATGAAAAATATTTGCCGTGACTAGATGAAAATCTCGATTTTTAGCAGCAAATTGGAGAGGAAGATCGCCGGCATGGTCGTTTTCCGTCGAAACTAACGTAATTGCGTGACGGCGTTAAGATTTCGATTAGTCGCATCATTAAAAATTAATTGATTAAGATTGGGTAATTACGACATAATTATGACATGGCCGAGAAATGCGCCAGTCTTTATATGCGGCAATCATGTCCGTGTCATCATAATTAATATTTATTTTTAATTAAATGTGGCCGAAAAGCATGCAACAGGTACAACTTCATTACAAACTATAACGACGGTCCGAGCATAGAACCCTGCGGCATACCCGATGTTGTGATATCGATTTCAAATATTCGTGTTGATTTCAGGCGGATGTTTCCGACGCTGAGGGTATCTTTCACTGGAATAAGGCCGGACCGACGATACGCCGTACTGTTGGACATCGTCCCCGTGGACAGCAAAAGGTACCGGTACGCTTATCATAGGTCGTCGTGGCTTGTGGCCGGAAAAGCGGACCCTCCGGCACCGTGTAGGATATATGCCCATCCGGACTCACCATTCTCTGGGGAACAGCTCCGAAAGCAAGTCGTTTCGTTCGAGAAAGTCAAGCTTACCAATAACGAGATGGATAAAAATGGACAGGTAAGAATTCGGCCGCAGGTTTTACGCGTATACGAGGTGCGTTCGAAAAGCAGAGTGCCTTTTGTAATTGGGAGGACTTTCCCTAACATATGTCCACAGTTTCAGTCAGTGTGCGCATTAACTTTTTTTTGTGAGACAGAAGCGTCACATGTGTTGAATAACTGACACAAATCGTGTTGAAATATCGTTTAATAACAAAATTTGGATAAAAGGACCGTCAAAAAGGTCATAACTGGTGACGAATCATATGGTTACGACGTTCCAATGGAAGAACCCAGAATGGCCAATGTCGAGGTTTTGCTTACATCAAGAGTTCTTACCCGAAGGTCGTACGGTCAGTATTAGCTTGAAAATTATGCGCCGTGTGAGAGAAGCAATACTAAGAAAACGTCCGCAATTCACGATAATGCCTGTGTCTAACTTTTTGCCCAAAAACAAAATCAGAATCATGCCTCAGCCACCATATTTACCGGATATGGCCCCTTGCGACTTTTTTCTGTTCCTAGAACTTAAGAAAGCCGTAGAAGAGAACGATTGATAAAGTAAAGGCGCCGGAGAACTCAAGACTATACCAGGCTTTTTTGATAAAACTTAAAAGTCACCTTTGACCCGGGCAATTGGAACGTCAAGTCTCCGTTCCAAAATGTAACACTGAAATAATGCTCCAAGTCTACTAAAATTAGCGAATAGAATATTAATTACCACTCAATATACATGTTATGTTTGTAAACGTATCAATTCATACAACATGGCGAATTCCAGTGATGAGAGTGATGTGCATTTAAATATTTTATAAAAGAGTAAACAGAGGATAGTGCCCTGAAAAATTCTTTTTTTTTTCAATTAATATCAGTCGACAAAAGACAAGAACTTATTTCATATTTTAACTATTGGTGTGGTTTAATTGAAGTGAAAGATATTCAAAAATGAGGCGACTGCAAATCTCAGAGAGCATTCATTCACTTTTAAACTAAAAATAAATTATCAGATGAAGGAAGATGAAATCCAAGGAATTCCATGTACAGTAAAAAGTATCCTACTAAACCGATAACTTATGAGTCATATCGAAGAAAATCAGGGAATATGAAGGAAAGGTAGAGATTTGACAAGAAAATGACTGCTTAGAAACTTAAAGTAAACTACACAAACTAAAGTCAGCTACCGCACTTGTTGCATAATGTACTATTTCTTTGTTTTGTTTGTTAATCAGTTAATGTCTATGCAAACAATTTTTCCTTTAGTGTTCGAAGATACGAAATCATTTATCTCAAAAATAAGAAAATATGACTTAGATCGTTTTTTCCCTGCAGTGTTCAAATAAATATCATAAATTGAAAGTACTTTATTTTTAACAGTTGTTGGTTGTTGTCATGTCTTCCATTATTTTTTTGTATGTTTCGAGTTTTTTTTTTTGACACATGTAGTGTTCAGTTTTGGTTATTTATTTTGTATACTGACACTAAATATTAATTCATTACCTGGGTTTTCTATATTGATTTCTTTATGATTCGGGGTTAATCGAATACATTTATCAATTTTTATTTTAATTTAATTTTTTATATACTTTATGGTAAAAAACGCGTGTCATTTCACCGCGATAATATGAGACCTCGGGTTTTGTTTGGCCGAATTACCGCGCATAGTTTTCGCGTGTTTGCGTTTGGTAACCCCCACTACATTGCTGCAATGGACATGGTGTGGAGAAAGAAAATCCGAGAGGCCTCGGGGGTCTTACACTAGAGTGCACATAAGGTAGGCCGTTTATTTTATAATTCGAGGGTTTATCCGTAGTTTTGTTTTGTTTGTGATCAAATTTTAAATTAAGAATTTATTTCGATGAACTTGTATACTATTATTCCACACGCGGCTTCTAAAAGGAAGTCTAGGAAACATTGAGTCTCTTACATATGGTCTTCGAGCCCGGATTTTTAAAGAATCAGTAATTCAAAAATAAAATTATTTTGTCTTTTCTAAATTCATTTTCTAATACTAAATTGGTAAAAATAATTTTGATTTCATTCACTATAAAGGCGTTTAAATAAGACGACCTTGAATAAATTTGACGAAGTATCGGAAAACAGGTAAAGAATTTAAATCGTTTAGAGTTTTTTGCGGTCTTGATTTTGTGTACGATATTTTGATTGTTTTTGGTTATCAATTGTGGTTTTGGTGGATTTTACGAGGTTGTTCGCATATTTTAATATAATTGAATTTAATTTCTTCTTTCTTGCCATTTTTTGTATAAAATCTGAAATATCCATGATGGTACCACCTTCGCCACCAGGCCAGAGCCATAATTTGCCGCCTTACCTAAATTTTAATCTTCCCCGTTTAGATATACCTGTTTTCTCAGGCAATTTAAAACAGTGGCCGACATTTTTTGATTTATACAGGAGTTCGGTGCATAATATGAACTTTTCCGCTTCACAAAAATTTCAATTACTGCTTACTCTCGTAACCGGAGAACCGCTCAGTTTATTGAGAAATATTCCTATAACTGATGACAATTACGCAGTAGCCTACGATACTTTAATAAAAAGATACGACAATAAACGGCTTTTATCGACTCATTACTTCAATGAAATAATGAACATTTCCAAAATTTCAAATCCATCGAATCAAGCACTGCGTAATGTTGTGGATAAGTTTTGTGAAAATGTGGAGGCATTAAAATTATTGAACTTTCCTACTGCGGAATGGGATTTTTTGCTTTTTAATTTACTCTTAATGAAAATCGATTCTGATACCTTACAGCGATTTGAAATGGAGCACGCAAAATTTGATATACCCACTTTTGCGCAGTTGAAATTATTTCTGAATAACAGGTGTAAGGTTTTAGATACGTTGACCTATACTCAGGAAAAAAATAAATCAAAAAATGCCGGAACCATTTATAATAGTAAGTTTTTTGCCAGTAACCGTCAACATAAGTCAGGTTCTAGGAATAATGGTGATCACTCCAAAGCATTTTTTACTAATACTCCTTCTAATAACGTTCCTACATTGAATTGTGGTATCTGTAGGACCCAGCATTCCATTATAAACTGCTCCGTCTTTTTAAGTAAGACTCCTCATGAGCGCTATTTACTAGTTAAACGCAACCGTTTGTGTGTGAATTGTTTGAGTTCGTTTCACAAATTTTCGAAATGCAGTTCTAATAAGACCTGTTCTTCTTGTACGGAACGCCATCATTCTTTACTACATTTCGAGTCGGCACATGGTAATGAACGTAGTCCACCTAATGACGATGTTTTGCCCAGTGCTAATGACTCTTCCGTAGATCAACCACATTGTGGCACCACTTCCATAAATTCTAATAGTGCATTTACGCTCCTTGCGACTGCAAAAGTGGACTTTCTGGACAGCCAAGGTTATTCCCACACAGTTAGAGTACTACTGGACAGTGGAAGCCAAGGCAATTTTATATCCGAAAGATGCTTTAAGAAATTAATGGGTTAGGTAATATGACATCTGTATCGTCGAATGGTGTTACTTGTTGTACGGTCCGCCCGGTGGGTAAGAACACACCTTCTTTTCCCATAGAATGTATCGTTTTACCGCAGATTTGCTCCTACATGCCTTCTGTATCTTTCAGTCGCGAGAACTGGTCACATTTGGAGAATTTAGTCGTTTCTGATGACACCTACAATACTCCTGGACCTATAGATGCTCTCATCGGGTGCGAGTTATTCCCTTTAATTTTGTTGCCTGAGAAGGTGTGCGGTAAAGAGTTGGAATCTGTCGCATTCAGTACATTATTTGGCTGGGTAGTGATGGGTAAAATTGATCGTATAAAAAGCAAGTCCTCATATTCCTGTTGCACACTATTGGAAGAAAACCGGGATATTAATAAAACTCTTCAAATGTTTTGGGAAATGGAGGAAGTTCCAAGTAGCAAGTCTTCATTAACCCTTGACGATCCCGCTGAAATTTCTTTTAACGAGACTCATTCTCGAACTCCTGAAGGACGTTTTATCGTTACTCTACCGTTTTCCAGTGGTGAGCCATTATTTTCTGACTCACGCTCCATAGCCCTAAAAAGGTTTTATAGCTTAGAGCGCCGTCTTCTTAAGGATCCTCCATTATTTGAGATATATTCCAAATTTATGAAGGAATACTTAGAGCTGGATCATATGGAACCCGTGTCTGTTCCTGTCTCTGACGTTGCCCAGCGCCACTTCTACATCCCTCACCATGGGGTTACTAATTCGAATAGTACGACTACTGCATTGCGCGTAGTCTTTGACGCATCTTGCAGTCCGCGGGATCGATCGTTGAATGACACTTTGTTGATTGGTCCCAAACTACAAAATGAAATTGTAAGTATTCTGTTAAGTTTTCGAAGGTTTCCTGTAGCATTTACTGCCGATATCAAAATGATGTATCGACAAATACTTGTTAATGACAGCCACCAAGACTACCAACGTATTTTATGGAGATTCTCCCCTCGAGAACCTGTTCAAGATTTTCGCCTAAAAACCGTAACCTACGGATTAAATTCAGCTCCTTTCCTTGCTCTGAGATGTCTTTTACAATTAGCCACCGAGGGTAGAGATAGATTTCCTAGGGCCGCAGCAATTTTAGCGTCCCAAGTGTATGTTGATGATATATGTGTATCTTGTAAATCTTTAGAGGATGCTGTGGATATCAAACAACAACTTATTGCTCTATTGGATGAGGGTTGTTTTTTCCTTAGAAAATGGTCTAGCAATTGTGTTGACTTCTTAGCTACTATACCTTCAGATATTCTACAGAAACCTCTCGCACTTGACACTAAATCCGATCCTTACTTGAAGGTTTTGGGTCTCAGATGGTCTCCAGAGAAGGATATCTTCTCATACGACAATTTCTCAACTCGACATGTACTAAGAGATCTATACTTTCTGAAATCTCCAGAATTTTTGATCCAATTGGATTACTTTGTCCCATAACTCTATTAGTTAAGCAGCTAATGCAATCTTTATGGGCGAGAGGTATCGACTGGGACAGTGAAGTGCCCG